GCTGGGAAGGGAACGCACCGATGGGAGATGGTGTCCTCCCTCGTCGGCTTCGTCAGCTCAATCTCATCCCTGATCAGGCGTCGGGACAGGTATGCGTCGCGCCACACCTACGCAGGGAGGAAAAGGGCCACCTGTGCCCATCGCCGTGCCACAGCCTTGTCACAAGGGGCCCCCAGGAGATGTGGGGCCATGTCCCCACTGGTGACGGTGCCATTGCTTTTTCATCGCTGTGTTGTCCCTCCTTAAAGCCACACACCTGAGTGCTGCTTTCTGCTCCTGAGAGCCGAGTTCCCACGCGGCGAGAAGTTATACATTAATCGCCGCGGGCAAGGACAGGCGTGGAGGGAACAGCCGGAACCGGTGTCAGCACCTGCCTTTGATCTGCCGCCAAGTCTGGATGCGCCTGGATCCGTCTCAGCCTCCCGGAGCAGCCGACCGAGTGCTGGAACTCCCTGAAGTCAGCGTCGTTGGTGGGCGCCTCTCATTGGGAATAAACTCCTGCGGTGGCTTCACCAGGAGAGCTCGCAGGGGTGCTGGGAAAGAGCAGCCTCTCCCGCTCCGTGCTGGCGTGGGCGCATGGGGGGTCTGCGTGCCCATGGCGGGGGTCCTGTGGGGTAACATCACGTTTGCAGAGTTGGATACACACCTTGCTGCTCTCTTTCACAGCCCCAAATCCACAGCTCTGCCCAAACTCCGTTGTCCAGGGCGTTTTGGGGAAGGACTGGCCAAATCTTAATTGTGGCTCCATCTGCACTGCCAAGGGGCATCCTGCCAGCTCTGTGCTGCTCCCTGCGCAGCTGCAGCGGGAGCAGGGCCTGTGCTTTTTAAACATCACGTTACTTACCAGCTTAGCACTGCTCTGTGCTTTACCTGGGGTGTGAAAGTGCAGAATTAGCCCCATCCTGGACCTCAAGTAACCGCATCAACAGCAGAAATCTTGTAATCTTCCCCGGCAGGTGGCAGATCTCGGCCCATTGGGGTGCAGAGTAGCGTGAGGGGCTCGGATTGGGAAGGGGACGCCCAGAAGCCCCCTCGGGCACCCC